TAATTATATAATTATTATTATTTACATAGATACTACAGGAAAAAAAAACATATATAAAACTTTTCTCGAAGTTAAAGTTTGTACTACGAAGTTCAGAGATTTGTAAAACGAACTCAAAACTTTCTGTATTTGATTAAAAGGAAAATTTGAATAAAAGCTGCATTTTCGAGAAAAGGAAAAAACAATATACAATGATCTTTCAATTAAGCTTTCTGCAGCGGGATTCTGATAATCGCTAAGTTCGTTTCTCGTAGCATAAATTCTCTAAGCAGTGTGACCTAAAAGTTTGCAACATAAAAACCTAACAGTACAATGCGTTATCAGCCAAATCTGACAGTATGAGCAGCGCGGGATTAAGGGCACGGCCGACGGGGCATCGGCCCAGCGCCCCCAACATGTGATTACGAAAGAACAAAAAACTAAATAATTTTTCAGAGATTACAGAAAAGATCGCTAGGTATAAATATTTGTCAACACCATCAATACATCTTGCGGAACCTAGCTTGCTTCTCCTGGCTCTGGTTAGATTCTCGACTCACCCAATAATGGTAATTTCCGTGGGACGCTGGAACTAATAGCTCATAATGACCCCCGGGCATATCAAAGAATAGGGAAATAAGGGACGACGGCACGTGAAATATAATTATTTTTTTTTTAATGAATTGTATGTAATTACTAACTCAAAAAGGGCCCTCAGGTTGCAGGTCGTTGGGCGCGCCTGCTATTCTTTTAACAATTTTCGGCGATCAAAATAAGCGATTGCGAATTTTGAAATCCGGGTGCAGATTTTGAAATGCCTTCAAAAGATTTGCCGAAAAATTTGACAGTTTACGTTGAGCAAAATGATTTAGAACGGTCGATTAGAAAAATGCATTTCCCAAATATATTGTCTTTTGCGCTACCAAGCGGACTAATTCATCCTTCATATTGCATTGTCATCAGATTCTGAGCTAGGTTTGAAGTTTATAGTCTCTAGCTCATCGGGAAGTTGGTTAAAAATTTAGTGCAAGTGTCTATTCGTGTGCGCGCGTCTGTGAGTCTCCACCAGGAATTGCTTACAGCAGGCTATCGAAGGTAACTCCGAGAATTTTTGGCTTATTCACCACAGGAGTTGGTTCGCCATCAACGTGAATTCCCAGTTGTAGTCTGACCTCCTTTGTCCAGGTAGTAAAAATGGTTGCTAGCGATTTTGTAGGGGAGAGGTTTAGGCTCCTTGCAGCGTAGAAGTGAGAAAGTTCGGAGAGGTAACCGTTTACTTTCGAGCAGTCGTCAGCATAAGAGACAGTCGAGACTCCCTCTGGTGGTTGAGGGAGCTGATAAATATTATAGTTGAACAGTAGCGGAGAAATTACATCCACCTGTGGAACCTACCGTTTAATTTTCCTTGGTTTGCGGGTTTTGTCCCTGAAAATTGCCGAATATCGAATTGACGAATATCGACCACTCAGATAATTTGCTGACCACCGTTTGCGTTCCTGTGTGAGAGAGGTAGCATCAATGTGAAATACCTTCGACAGATCCCATGCTACGAATAATGTTCTCTCACAGGGGCGGTTTCGGTTCAGGCCACGAGTTATCTGAGTGGTTACGGCGTTAGGTGCTGTTGTTGTGCTGTGCACTTTATGGAATCCAAGTTGACGCCTCGCTGGGGCAGGTGGTTCAAATAGTGCGGGAGTAGGAAGACCTCAAATGTCTTCGCTACCGGGGGAAGAATGTTATCTAACGATAAGACTGTACCTCGTTAGGTGGATTCCCCGGTTTAAACAGTGGGACGACTCCCTCCATTTTCCAGATATCCAGAATGATGGGAGTAGCCATGGAGTTTGAGGACCTTGGTGAGGTAGTTTAATCCCGCAGGACCCTATTTTTTCAGCATCAGCATGCATATTTCGTCAGGTCCTATGGCTGTGAACCTCACCGCTGGTGAAAGCAAAAGGTGCGCTTGGTGTTGGTGGTTTGTGCAGCCTTCTGGTCACTCGGACGTTTGGCCTTGTCCACCGGAGGATGCAGCGTGAATTGTCGGCTAAAATAACTGGCGAATAGCTCCGGGTCCGACGAAGCGCGTTCGCCGAAAGAGATTTCCACTATGTCGTCGCGCCTCGTCGGGTTGTTGTAGCCGCTACAGCAACAACAACATTAGAAGATAAATACGTCACTGAAAATCATGAACGTGAATGTTGGACCAACATTTTTCAATACAATGCATTTTTTTTCAATGCATCGGGGAGATTGATAAATTTTCATTCCAATCACCCATGGAAACAAAAAATAAACACCGCTGCCAGTCTTATTAGAAAAGTCCATCTGCTCAGCGACGAAGAATTTACAGATCAAAACAATAAGAAAATAAAAAACATATTGTACAAAAACAGCTACCCGCACGCGTTAATAGAAAGATTATTACAAACAACAATAAACCAAATTCGCCAACCGAGCCAAAACACCGAAGTACAGCCAAACAACACTAACAAAAAATACATTGGGGTGACATACATACCAGGACTTACAAATAACCAAGTACTCCGAAAAACAATAAAAAATGAGAATGTGATATATGCACACAAGCCCCATAACACAATCAACAAATTGTTGACGAAAACCAAAGACAAGATTGAAAAGGAGCAACAGCACAATGTAGTGTACCAAATAAAGTGCAAGGGCAATGATAACGAAAGCTGCAATAAATGTTACGTAGGCACAACAAAAAGAGCGTTGGGTATAAGAATCAATGAACACTTAACAACGCACGAACATATAGCGGACTTCGGCAACACAGAAATTTTGGACATCGAAAGAGGAGAAAGAAGGAGAATGACACTGGAGAGCCTACGAATACAACAACAATTGGACAACGCAATCAACTTTAAGGAAGACGTCAACAACACGAAGAACACATATGCAGCCGTACTAAAATTAAAATATAAATAAGAATACTTCAATAACTCTTCCTAAATGTTGTATTACCTTCAATGTGTGCAAATTAATGTAAAATTCCTGTCAATATTTAGTGTGAGTTTCAAGTGATAATTAGTCTGTTCCTTTGAACTTCGGACTAAAACCTGTGGAACTGTCA